TATATTTTTTTTTTTTGAGATGGAGTCTCACTCTGTCTCCCAGGCTGGAGTGCAGTGGCCAGATCTCAGCTCACTGCAAGCTCCGCCTCCCGAGTTCAGGCCATTCTCCTGCCTCAGCCTCCCCAGTAGCTGGGACTACAGGCGCCCGCCACCTCACCTGGCTAGTTTTTTGTATTTTTTTTAGTAGAGACGAGGTTTCAACATGTTAGCCAGGATGGTCTCGATCTCCTGACCTTGTGATCCGCCCGTCTCAGCCTCCCAAAGTGCTGAGATTACAGGCGTTAAAATAGAGCTGAAAGGATTTAGCGATGAATTAGATGTGAGCTATGAGATAAAGAGAGGAATCAAGGATACTGCTAACATTTTTAGCCCGAGTAACCAGAAGGATAAAGCTACATTTACAGAAATAAGGAAAACTTCAAATAAAGCAGACCTGAGTATGGATGTAAGTTAGATCAGTCTGATTTGGGCCATATGAGTTTGAGATGCCCATTGGACACGGGGTTAGCACTTTGAAGTTCTGAGAAGATGCTGGCCTGGAAATTGGAAAGTCACAAGTCTATGGTATTTAAAGCCATGAGACATGTGCAATCAATGCAGTCAGAAACAGAAGCCACATACTATAAAGTTCCTTTGACAGCTACTGGATAAATTCATACCCCTCCACCTTCCTCCTCAATGTGTCTGTCTCCATTTCCTAGTTGCTATGGTTCCTAATGCTTATATTCATTTCACCTTAATTTTAGTACATTAGGTGTCCTAGATTGTTCCCCTCGAAGCAATCTATCTCCTTATAAACAAGATGAGGGCTGGGCACAGTAACTCACACCTGTAATCCCAGCACTTTGGGAGGCCGAGGTGGTCAGATCCCTTGAGCCTAGAAATTCAATACCAGCCTGGGCAACATAGTGAGACCCTGTCTCTACAAAAAATACAAAGCTTAACTGGGCATTGTATTGTGGCATGCACGTGTAATTCTAATTATTCAGGAGGCTGAGGTGGGAGGATCGCTTCAGCCAGGGAGGTGGAGATTATAGTGAGCCAAGATGTCACCACTGCCCTCCAGCCAGAGACATGGAGTAAGACCCTGTCTAAATAAACACACACAAACACACACACACACACACACACACACACAGAGAGATCATAGTTCTGTTACCTGTAGATTGTATGTACAGTAGTGCCTAAGGTTCATAGAAGGTCCTTAATTAATGATATGAATAAATGACCCAAATAATTACATGTTTTCAAGATGTTAGTTGTTGATAAAGAGGGTGATTAGCAACTGTGTTTATGATGGTTAGCAGTGACAAGCATTTACTCAACCTAAAAACAAGAAGTGTCAAGGTTTCTAAGTCATGACTTCATTGCCATGCAGTACAGTGATTCTCAGCTTTGATTTCCTAAAGTGGAATTTCAGGAGGGCTGACTGTGGAGCCAGCCCACCTGAGTTTGAATCCAGACTTAACAGCTTCCTGTAGAAAGAAGCAATCGGCCATGGGTGTTGAGTGTCCCTACATGTTCTTGTGGGGTGTGACAAAAATGCAAGGCCATGACCACTGTTTACCCAGACCATTTCTCAGGGTTGTGTTTGCACTGAGAAACTGCAAAGGTTGAGATAAACTCTTCCCCCTGAAACAAAGAGCAGCCTTTCTTTGGTTTACTATAAAAGCAGTAAATTCCCCATGTGCAGGCATCCATGTAGACTCACTTGTGTTTCCCCTGTTGGACTTGGGGGGCTTGGGAAATTGGCACAAACTTGAAGCACTGGCTACTTCTTTTGCTATGTGCCCTTTGACCCAGCATTCAAGAAACAGTGACTAACTTATTAGTTTGTATGTAGGGTAAAACACCAGACCCCTCAGAGTTCCTGATACTTGCTAGCTATATGACTTTGAGATACAGATGTGTCTTAACCTAAGTCTTGTTTTCCTCACTTGTGAAATGGTATATTAGTAGTTTCAACATCAAAGGTTCTTCCAAGAATTAAATAAAATTGTGTATATACAGTACTTAGTAAACAGTGTGTGGCACACAATAAATACATAATAAATGTTGGCTAATTAGTGATGAACTATTTCTAAAATTTCCAAATGGCTAGTGATAATTATACCTTAATAATGTCTCCTAGGTATTACATAATTACTCATTTTATAAAGTAGGAGAAAAAATACTTTAAAAATAAAGCATATTAGCAAATACTTACACTAAATTATTTCTCACAGATGATATTATTACGCCCATTTTACAGATAAAGAAATTAGCACAGAGAGGTTAAGTAATATTTTCAAGAACACAGAGCTAGTAAGCGGTATATCTGGGATCCAAATCCAGGCAGTCTGGATCCAGAACCCATGCCTTTAACCACTAAACTGTGCTGTATCTCAGTATAGGAGTCCATGGGGGGTTGGGGAGAGAACAGAAAAGGGGTCCTGGTGATTAAGAAAAAGTCTAGAAACTGATCTCCCTGCAGATGAAAAAGCTAAGGCCCAGGAATGCCTCATGGTCGGTTAGTGGTGGTCAGATCCAGAATTTTACTAACGATTTTGTCATCAGATACATTATCAGAGAACGTCTTTTATTCTTAAGTAAGAAACATAACTATTATTTAAAATAGAGTAGAAAATATTCAGCAGATTTTTTTTCACCCATCTAGAACAAGAAGCTAATTTTATTGGTTCCTAATACCCCTTCATATGTATATATTAATATGCTCTACTTGCATACATAAGTATGTGTAAACTCTCACTGCAGCAAATATTAAACGTAAATAACAAAACACACATATTAAGGTGTGAAATGTAAAATGTGAAATTTCAACCCAGTTTGGAAAGCTACAGTTAGAAAAGACTTTTCAAAATTGTTTTTTCATTATTGTTATTGTTCATTTGGCTGTTTTTAAGAGAGTAATATGTGCTTACTAGAAAAAAAAATCTAATAGAACAGAAGGGGATAAAATAAGAAGTAAAAGTATTCCAGACATGCTAATTTTATTTCTCATTGTTAGGCAGTTTATCTTTCCAGGAATTGTCTATAAAGCTACAATTATATAATATATATACACTTAAATTTGTTTATGATCATATCTATGTCTTTTATAAACTATATTTCTGTTTATTTTTAAACTTTAACACTGTTTTACGACTTACAATATGTGCTTAACATTTATTTTTACGTAAAATATGATTCTGCCACATTCTTTTCAACAACTTCACAGTAATTTGTTTGCAAGGCTAAGTCACATTGTAGTCAACTGTTGCTCACTGATGCACATTTAAGCTGTCTCTAGTTTTTTACTATTAAAAATTGCGCTGCAACAAACATCTTATACATCTATCTCTGTATATATGTGTAAGTATACTGAAAATGAGTTCCTAGAATTAGAAGGGACAAGTCAAAGGGCATACAGATCTTAATTTTGTTAAATTCCATCACTGTTTTCTTTTACAGCCCTGAGAAGTTCCCCTTGACTGTTTCCTTACATCCTCAGATTGTTTTATGAGTCCTAACAATTAAATGTCCCTTTGTTGTGTGTTGCACTTATATTTCCCATTGTATGTTTGATGTTGTTTGTTTTCTCTTACTATACAAATGTTTTAGATTGTTAGGTAGTGACATTTATCAATCTTTTTGCTTATGAGAGTTTCCACATTTCCTGATATGCTTCGAAACACCTTCTCACAATGAAACATAAATACATAAATTCATCCATAAATACATGAGACAGATCTGTAAATACTGATAGAAAACAACTGGACACACAGTCTTAAGTGTAAAAGCCAATCACAGAATAGTATGCACAATGTTACAGGTGTACCTACCTATTTGCATATGTCTAAAGCACCTCTGGAAGGTGGCCTGGAGATGGGGAGAAATGGGTAGATGGTGGATTTTCACTCTTCATTCTTTTTACTATTCGTACTGTTTTTTATGTATTATCTATTCGAATGTAAATGTTTTAATCTTATTGTTTAAAAGAGCAACCTCTATCATGTTTGCATACAAAAAAAGTCTCCCTTTTCACCTACATTTCATTCCCTATCATTTAAAGCTTAATACATTTAGAATGTAGTATAATTAGTAAGGCAAGGATCCAGTAGTGCTTTCTACCAAATAGGTCTGTTGAATTTTTAAGTTTGTTAAGAGGCAAAGACCACGGGTGGAGAGGAAGGAGTGAGAGTGCCAGGTGAGGAAAGTCTAAAATCCCTCGACTTAATAAGAGAATGGTTGACACGGAAGGCTGAGTTTCTAGCGCCAGGTTTGGGTTATACACACTTCTTCTATGCAATTACCGTGAAAAGCACTCGGGGTGTGAGGTGAGGTGTACCTCCTAGCTTGATGCTGCTGATTCAAGTCCCAAACCAGAGGGAAGGAGCCAGAAAAGGAGCCCAGAAAGATGGAATACTTCGCACGGTTTTTTAAGTAAAGGCGGAACATTCCCTACCGACCAGGCAGCCCCAGGAGCTCAGGCGGGTATCACTGCCCCGCACACAGAACTCAGAGTTCAGCGCGGCTGTTACCGGCTCTAGGCTGGGTCTAAGCGTCGGGCCAGGAAGCCGCAGTCAAAACTTGTCCTCCTACCTGTGTACGAAACGCAACTATTCTCGTCGAAGTGCTTTCCCAGGCTCCTAAGAAGCAGCTTCAATACTCGCCGCATTCTCAGTTACTGGTCGTATCCTAGCAACGACCCTGGCACCACCTCTTCCTGCCAGGGCCGGACAGGGGGGAAGGGGAGGAGCAAGAGGCGGGATGGGGTAGGAGCCAGAGGCGGGCAGGGGCGGAGCCGGGAAGGAGGAGCGCGGCAGGACTGGGGGAGGAACCAAAGGCGGGGGGCGGGGTCGGAAAGGAGGAGCGCCGCAGGAGAGAAGGGGCCAGAGGCCGGAAGGCGGGGTCGTGAAGGAGAAGTGCAACAGGAGAGAACGGGAGGAGCTAGAGGCGGAGGGGCGGTGTCGAGAAGGTGGAGCGCGGCAGGAAAGACCGGAAGGAGCCAGAGGTGGGCTGGGGTCCGGGGTCCGGAAGGAGGATCGCGGTAGGGAAGAAGAGGAGGAGCCAGAGGAGAGGGTGGGGGGCTGCACAGGAGGTACGCGACAGGGAAAAGGGGGAGGAGCCAGAGGCGAGGGGGCGGGGAGGAGGGAAGCGGCAGGGAGAAGGGGCGGGGCCAGAGGCGAGGGGGAGGGAAGGAGGGACACGGCAGGGGGAAGGGGAGGAGCCAGAGGCGGAGGCTGTTACCAAGTGGTTACCTAGATCCAAAAGTGAATCAGGACAGTAACCTCTCTCCAAGATCTTTTACACTTGTGAAAGGGCACAGCTCTCTGAACCAAACACTAACAGCAATTTAATCTTACAGATATAAAAAATCAGAGTCAGAGAAATCATCAGTTTGAAGTCAGAGGCGGGAAACTGTCAGATGCCTACTTGGTTTTCTTAAATTAACAACTTGCCGCTCAGCTTCCTGGCAGCCAAAGAGAAATGGGAGACAGTAGCTATCAAATAATTCTCCTTATAAGAGAAGCAGAACTTTTGTTAATCACTAAATTAGTTAATAAACTAAATTTTGTCTATCAATGAATTCTTTTTCTTCCCCTTTTTTTAAGTGTATACAGAGTCTTGCTCTGTCGCCCAGGCCGAAGTGCAGTGGTTCGATCCCGGCTCACTGCAACCTCCGCCTCCCGGGCTCCCGCGATTCTCCTGCCTCAGCCTCCTGAGTAGCTGAGATTACAGGCGCCCGCCACCAAGCCTGGCTAATTTTGGTATTTTTAGTAGAGATGGGGTTTCACCATGTTGGCCTGGCTGATGTGGAACTCCTAGCCTCAAGCAATGTGAGCCACGGTGCCCGGCCTATCAATAAATACGAAAACTTTTAAAGAAGCACAGGATGGTATTGGAGGTCAGGTCAAGTATGTTCTTCTTAGAAATTTAGTAACAAACTGTATATTACTATCTCGTAATAGCAGCTAACATTTATGAAGTATTAATTGTCATGAGGCATCGTACATAGATTTCTAATTTAATCCTTACAGCGATTTTATTAGGGAGAAACTGCTATTAGATCCATTTTGTAAATGAGAAAACTAAGGCACACAAACTTTAATGAAGGAACTAGGATTAAACCCAAGCAATCTAACTCCAGGTCCCAGATTTTTAATCACTATTACGGTAGTTTAATTTGATTTGATATTTTAAAAGGATTAATAAAATTAGTACAGGTTCATTCCCTTATTCATAAATGTTCATTGTCTTCATTTATTTCTTTATACTGTTCTGCTGAAATTGTTCTGCTCTCATCTCCCCAATAACTTTGTAATGTCCAATGCCATTTTTTTAGTCATCTCATTTTAAAATATATTTTTACTAGAATAGTGAAATATATATTCTCAGATAAAATTGGCTTTAATAATGATCAGTAAAAGAAAATGCATTTTAATCATTTCCACACATTCATGAAAAGTAAAGGGGAAAAATGGGCATAGAGGTAACCACTAGAATTAGGCTTTCTTGGATGGGTAGACCAGGTGTGGAGGTGCGCAGATAAGATTTTACAAACACTCATACACTCCCATCTCCAAAATCATAATTCATCTTACATTCTGCTACTAATAAAAATTCCACTGGCTTTAAACATTCACTTTTCTGGGTCTCCTCTTTAAAATTTATCATTCACTGTTCTCAATGTTAGAGACAGTATGCAAACAGTAGGTTTAGGAATAGAGTCAGGAGATGGGGGAAGAAAAGCTGGTAGGAGAGAACTTAAGGGTCTCGCAGTGTTAAATGTGACTTGATATCCACTATTCATATTTTTTGGTAATTTGCTGTGAGGATGACTTTATACAATTTAATCTTAAATAGGAACCTAACTTAACAGTTAGGCTTCCTTGGGTAGTCTGTGGAGCACGGAAAGGTTATTAGCATGTCAAAATCCTGTCTACGCACACAAACACACACATACACACAAATGTGGTTTGGTTACATAATAAATGTATATTCAAACTGAATGAAAACAACCAATAGAAAAAAGCTTCTCAATTCCCAAAGTGAAAGAGTAATTTTACAATACCATTTTCCATTTTCCTTTTCATGATAAATCTATGCATGTTCTCAGGATTTATTCCACCAAATGACTTTGTATTTCTCATGTCACATCTACCTTTATTCATCTCAGCATTTATTTATGTGATAAACATTTCTTTTGATGTGCTTTTACTTTACGAAGATGCCACCTAGTGGTATGATAAAATCAAGCATTTCAAAGTATTTCCCGTTGTTACTCAAGGTTAAAATGAATAATGAATATTTTAAATATTAAAATAATTTAGAAAACTAAGGACCTGAAAATTTTTGTTTTGGAAATTATGTATATTAAATTTGGATCATAATATCACTTTCTGAACTTAAGAGAATGGAAATATAGGTCCATAGTCCCTTTTCTGAAACCTTTTGGGACAGATGTGTTTGATATTCAGAATTTCTCAGATTTTTGAAAGGAAATATGGGCATATACTTTACATTATGTAAAACATTCAGAGGGTCTGAGGAAGCAGTTTATAATCAAATATATTGATATATCTGTGGCAAAATATATTCATATTCACATTAAAGTCGGATAAATACCACAAATAGCCTCATATAATTCAGGTGGAGTTTGTTGCCAAATTGAGTTATGAAAAAACTTTGTTTTCAGAAATTTTTGAAACTAGGAATTTAGATAAGGGATTGTGGATCTGTTTTACTCTTTTGAAAAAGAATTCACCCTCCAGTTATAGAGAGATTAAAATGCCAATATTTTGTAAAAATAAATAAATAAATAAATAAATAAATAATAGTAATAGTTATCTTTAGAAAAGCTAATAGATTCACCTAAAAAAAAAACTTGAGGATCATGAGAAATACCAAAATAAAAATATTTGTAATGCTTTTCATTTAATTATATACAGAAGCCAATCATAAATTACATTTAAGTGTACCACAAAAAATTAGCTGCTAATATAAACCTAAAGGTCAATTTGAAAATTATTAGTGATGCATGGCAAGTTCAATTCATACATTTTGTGGCACAGTCAAAAAAAAATTTAACCTTGGTTGTTTTTTTTGTTTTTGTTCCTATGTGTAATTTACCATGTTGCAATTCCCCAGCAACACTATGTTCATGGAAATATGGGTTGATGGTGCCATGCTCAGCCTGGATTCCTTGTATGTCTATGAGCATTCCTTGCGAACCCTCCATAGACATGCAGTATGAATAAAAAATACACTTATGTTAAGACACTGGGATTTAAGGATAACCCATGCTAAATCACTACATTACTATTTTACTTCACTATCTAGAATACTGGCTCAACTCTAGTCTCTCAAATGAATTATTCCTGTCCCCATCAATCATTCAAACCCCTTATCACATTCCCACTGTGATTTCCTGTGAATTTTGTCTAAAATAAAACGTCAACCTCCTCTAAACCCAACTGGTAGCCTTTCATTTACTTTTCTCTAAAATAATTGGCATTACTATTGTTGTTGCATAGGCTGCAATCTCACTGAACACTTAGTTTTTTTTTGTTTGTTTTTGTTTTTAGTAGAGATGTGGTTTTGCCATATTGGCCAGGCTGGTCTCGAACTTTTGACCTCAAGTGATCCGCCCACCTCGGCCTCCCAAAGTGCTGGGATTACAGGCTTGAGCCACCTCGCTTCCCCGCTAAACACTTAGTTTTAATGGGAAGGCAGCACTCAGCAAATCCAAAATACTCGTGATATGTTCAGCAATTTGGTACTTAATCCTATACCCCACAACACACTTGTGTAGGGTGTTAACTTCTGTTTGTTTACACAATCATAAGAGGATGGGAGGAAAAAGAAAAAGCTGCTATTAGCCTACATGTGGGAATTTTCCTATATATTGTTATCTTCCTTTTAAAAAGGATACATTCATAAACATTGTTACTGGCTTAATTAGCTTCGCTCCTCTGACTGGGATTGGAAAATTGACAATAAAATATAAGCTCCCTTTTTTTCCATCCCCCAAGTCTGAGGGAAAGGCATGGGGAAGGGAGAATGAGAGAGAGTGAAAGGACACAATAAAACCTGAGGCCTGATTGCACATGATGACTGCTACTGCTGGCATCAATTCATTCTATTCCAATGACAGACTACTTGATCCTACTGGTGTGGGAAAGATGGCAACCTTGAGACCTGAGCCTTACTCCAGTAGAGTGTGCCCCCTATATACTGTTTGCCCAGGACAGTCATGGTGTACAGCTGTTATCCTTATGTAGTTATTTTCACTCAAAATCATTCCAGGTGGAATAAGATTATCCTATAGTTATCCTAAATATAAGCCATTTTCATCCCAAAGGAAAGCATGCCAAGAAACTGGAATTGTCTGCACTAAGTCCCAGTGTGGGAGAAAGAGGGCATCGACTTTGTTGCCATTTCTTCTTTCTTAGCAAAGTTCAGATTGATTAGTTTCTCTTTCTTTTGAAGTATCTGGAGTATGGTGATTAACTAGAATGAAACCCATAGGAGAACTGAAATAGGCCATTCTGAAAATTATTCAAATTAGTTTGGCCACTCAAAACACTGAAGATCTTTGAATAAAAGAATCATTTGCAAAGTGAGCAGGAGACTTAACCTGGATGTTTATAGGAAGCAACTGGGAAAAGACTGAAGGAGTAAAAATGATCAGGTGTAAAGTTGTGTGAGCAACTGAGACAGGAGAAAGAATTAAGAACCAAATTGCAATACCTTTTAGATACCTATCC